CAGGACTCACCCATGGCTCTCCCCAGGAGTTGCGCACAATCCAGTATTCGGTGCCATTTTCTACTCCCCAGCCTGCTACTGACACAATGTGGTTGATATCAGGGGACTCCACGTACTCCGAGTACAGTCCCCCGGTGTAAGCGTCCAGTTTATCAGTGGCCATGATTCCACAGCTGGAGGGATGAGGATTTGTACATTTACGCAAACAGAGCAAAGGGGAATTGCTCCTAAAGGGAATGCTGCAGGGATATGACTTTAATTCCAAAGTGATTAAGTCAAACCTGATAGGTCCTCCAGTGAAGATCTCTGCCTTCATGTCAGCTGGTCCACTGATGACTCCAAAGTCACCGACCTGCCACATGGTGTAGTTTCTCACAGTGCTGCACTTACCAAAGGTTGTGCAGGTCCCACAGGCATTGAAAGGTTCACATTCTGGAGAAAAAAAAGAAAAAAAGGATAAGTCATCACGTCCAAACTGTGAACCACTGTTTGAGGAGTTTTGTTCTATTTTACCTTGGTCAATTGCTTGGTAGTTATTGCAGGTCTCATCAGGGATGCCATTTGTGTGGGCATACTCCCAAACCGGTGCATGGTCTCCACCATGACAGGTCCCAGAGTCGGCACAGTCCAGGACATGTTGGACAGAGAGATAAGCAGATGGCCATACTCCTTTACGCTTGATATTGATGCGATCTACACAGATTGAAACAAATATGCAGCTTTAGCTTCAGTACATTTAGGACACAGCTCTCTAATGCTACTTCATGGTTAAAGACATTCATACACAAAGTGTCTAAACAGTTGTTTTGCTATGGTTGTCCTATTTAGATGGCAAAAATGAGAACCTGTGTAAGCCATGAGTATAAGAATACTTTTGCCCAAGAAAACCAAATCAGCTGTTAATCAAAATGTGTAAAAGAACTAAAAACCCCTTACCAGCCATTGCACTGGTGCTACCATGAGCCCAGCAGGAACCACAGTACTGGGGAATGTGCTGGTTACGAGTCGTACTAGCGTAGTTGACGCCATTTACATTTCTCCAGTCCCAGGACTTGGGCAGCTGAATAAGGTTGAGGATTTCATGAGGTCGAGGTGCGGTTCTAAGAAAACAGCGACAAGTATAACGCTTCAGACAACTGCCTACAGCCTTCAGCCAATACATATTTGCAGTAACCAAGAACACACTTCACTCCAAAGTCACGTTTCCTGGGCCCCGGCTGGTAACATCTCGGCCTCTTACTGACAAAATGTCTTCCTGTAACAACAAGCATCAAGAGCATGACCACAAACAGCTGCAGCTGAGCCATGTTGAAACACACAGCAGTAAACAATGGGCCACTGGGGTCTGCTTTAAATAGGCCACAAGACAGGCCTGACCGGCCGCATAATCAGGTTTTATTGATCTCACCTGGGAGTCACTTCCAGGTGCATGATGGGACAATCTTGCTTAAAGGATCCATTCATGCTGAACCCATGAGATGTGATGGTAAGGGTTTTAAAGGTTTTTACACTCTGGGTTTTCTTTAGAAAATGAAACAAAATGAAATGCCTAAATGTTAAGAAAACAAACAGTAGAGAACAGTTCTGGGTTTTGTTTGTTTTTTAATGTCTTTTATGGTCCGTTCTTGTCATAAATACAATATTTTATAATCCTTTTAGTGCTCTACATATAGTGGATTGCTTTCCTGATGTATTTTCCAATCTGCAGAAATTGAAAGACATATTTATTGGAGAGGATCATTTTAATTCATTTTTTAGCATTATTTATTTATGTCATGTATAGACACCTGGCCAAATTGGACTGGAGCGTCTGCAACCTTCATAGATAATGAGTTATAATTTTAAATTATTTTGTTTTATTTATTTTTTTGGTAAATTGTAATTCTGGGCAGGATTGTCATCGTTTCTGAGATATGAATTGATTTAATAAGTAACTTTAATTCACCTTAATTGTTTGTTTTACATTTTGCTTTCTATATATATATTAATTTATTGACAACACTGTCCAAATTCTACATGTGGTTTACTTTGTCTACTGGGCTTAGTTGGTTAAAACAAAATCACCTAATATCTAAGTATCATTGACATTAGAGGAGCATCGCTGTGATATCTCCATAATTAGCTTGTTGAGCACATCCCAGTCCTCGTTACTGTCAACATGATTAACGTAGTCAAAAACCAGGTGATTGATCTACAGTATGTATGTGTTTGGATGTGCAGTAGATAATATCTGTGTTCGCTGATCCGTGTGAAGCTAAGAGGTCAGACGAGTTCCTCTGACATTTCCTTCAGAAGGACTTACATGTTGTTCACTCACCTGTCAAATATTGAGAATGGCCGGACGTCAAGTAATTGTACGGTCAAATCACAGACGCTGGATTGTAGGTTCAAGCCTAGTTCAGCTTCTCATATACAGGGATTTAAAATGGTGAAAAAACTCTTTCAGCTTCTCTTTTCCTCTGCTTTTCTGTAAAATATTTCATAAAAATATTTCTATTTATAATTTTTGTTATATTAATAGTTTATATTCATATCTGAAATAAACTAATTTCATGATGACACAGATTTTAGTACTTTTCAGCCCAGAACAGACCAGTTGTTTTTTAAAAAATCTTTAAGTTCTCCTCCACACTGCTGGAGCTTTTTCCCTTCATTTGTGGCCCAGATCTCTTGTTGCTTTAAAAGCAGCCACATTTTCCAGTTGAGAAGTTTTTTGAAAGACTCCTGCCTGAGCTTGATAAACCACCTGTCCACCACCGAGACCAAATCCCTTGACCTCACGGTTCACTGTCACAGCACAATGTCTCACATCCGTCTGACTCAGCTGCTGCAAACTATGACAGTTAAAAACACAAGTTTTTCTTCTTTTCAATGAAATTTCATCGAGCACTGGAATATGGTCATAGGAAGAAAATTCCAGGAATGAGGGATCAGAGGAATCCCACTGATCTTCAACAGTCCTGTCATAAAGCCCAGGATGTTGACGGCTCCTGTGGTTCAGGAGATGTGAGGAGGATTAATGAGGATAAGCAGATAAAGGACGACCACTGGAGGTGCTCACATTACATTAAAGTATATAATAATTTTATTAATAATAAAAATAATACATTTAGCATGAAAATGTTTAATTAAGTCCAAACTGCAGTTGATATAACACTGTAATACTTACCAATAAAACTTAATTATAATTATCATTTTTAATACAGTCTAAAACTGCCAGCCTCTGGAACAGTTCTGGAACAGTTCTGTGTTCAATCCTGCAGAACTGAGTCTGGTGCGAAACACAAAGGTCTCCCCACAGACATAAACCCTTTGTTCTTTGTGTGCCGCAGCTCGTCGTATTTCCCACCTGCGCTCTCTTCTCTCTTCTCGGACACTGAAAACACACCTTTGTGCGAAAAAACTCAGACCTGATGTGTTTGCTAAGCCCCCGACTCAATGGACCTCTGACCTTTACCACTCCTCACCCTCTACTGTGATGGGATTTTTGTTAACAAGTCTCTCAAAGTTAAGAAAGACAATCTAAAAAGGTAGGCTATGCCTGAACGTGTAAATCCCACTAATCTCCTTGACTAAACTCCCTCCTGTGGAGTTAGTCAGCATACTTGTGCACGCACATATGGTGCACCATAAGTTAACGTCTGTTTGGTTGTCTGGATCACCATTGCCGCTACCGCCAACACTATACAGAGGCTTAATCCTGCAGAATTAGACCACTGAGGCCTAGCTCTTGACCAGGAGCCATTGGCCCTTGAAGATAGCTACAAAAGGAAATGCCCGAGTTCTTTACCTTTGTAAAGGTAACCTACAGAGAAAGATAGAGAGAGAGTGAGAGAGGAGAGAGTTACAGTTCCTTGAAGTGCCATGTGGAAGAATGCCTTCCCTGCATTGATTGTACCTATTAAACATTTAGAAAGCCCTAATTGGAGCATGTGCAGGCTCCATCCACCGGGCTGCGTTAATGGCTTTTTGCATATTGCTACAGCTGAGTAGGCTTTGATTTCTATTCTGTAAAGCAGAATTAGCCTTAGCTACAGCAGTATTATGAGCGCACAAGCTTTAATCTACATTTGTTGGGGAGCTCCAGACACAAGTAACACACTGACATGAAGACAGAAGTATTCTGACACAAAGACACAGCTATGATTTGTTTTCCATGGTGAATGTTATCAGGATGCAGCATTATATTTATAGTATTATTTTAATTGTGACCCTCTACAAGCAGGGGCTATCTCCCACTGTAGAATAGCTTTGACAGAACCAATTCCCTGCTTCTTCTCCAAAGATTTCTTTACATCTATTAAATACCAGGGTGGAATCCAGGAAGCAGCAGCTGTGGCAGCAGATTTGTCCCGGTGTTTTCTAAAGCTCAAAAGCATATTTATGTTTGGATATTTGCCATGATAAATGTATAAAATGCCATTTGTCATAGCTTTAATAATAATAATAATAAATAATGGGCCATCATTGAAACATTTGTAGTGTGTGTTACAAATATGCAAAAGATGCAATTAATACTGTGTGTGGGTGAGAGCGGATACAGTAACACGTTAGGTCTTAACCCTCTTTTGCCAGACAGTTACTGCTCATAACTAAAATACATATGGACTTATATTAAAAAAATTAGCTTAAAAAACAACAACATCAACAGTTGTTGATTGTATTTGGTACACAATCAACAAAAACCCTCTCTCATCAACTAAACTGCTTGTTATCCTTATTAATGGCGTCTAATTTTTATATTACCCTGATTGATTTTACAGTGTGCTCACACCGAGGTGCTGCCGCCATGGTTCGCTCTTTAGAGAGCTGTTATTTCTCCTCAGACTGAAAGGCAGGTGGTCAGCTGGTGCAGTGGACCACCCTCAGCTCCCTTCCTCACTCCCTTTATCTGCCATGATCAAAAGCAAACTTGCCTCCTTGATACACAGGCTCATCCATATGCATGCCGAGGCTTAACAGTCTCAACTGGCCCCCATTAGTCGTACAGTCAGTCTGACGAGGCGCTATTTTGGAGAATTTGCATACAATCATTAACAGATTAATCACGAGTGACAGTCGAGGGAAGGCAGCGGTCAGGAACCACACGGGAGCTGAGTTGGACTCTGACCTACTTGTACCAGCAGATCACTGGCCTAGTTGGTTTTTATGAGATTCAGATGATTAAATTGACCCACTTTCTACATGGTTTTGTGACGTGAAAAGGATAAAAGGGAGTCTGCCTTCCAAAAACAAAAAAACATGGAAAATTATCATCTTTAGAATGCAAAGTGTCCCTGGGATTTCAGTCTGTTTCTATTTTTAGACAGTTTTCTAGGTATTTTTTCATCATATTTTACCTGTTGCATAAAAAACTCCAATGTTTTCATCATTTCATGATGAAATTTCAGGACATTTTACTGCAACAACAAAAATTTCAGAGAAAATTGCTAAATATTTAGTTTCATCAATGTGATTCATTTCTGTATTATTATATTTTATTATATTATATATATTATATTATGTTTTTCTTAAAATAACATTTTCTTAGCCCTATATTTGATGAAAAATATAATAATTATGCCATTAAGAGCAAACCTTTTTTTCAACATTTTTGGTTGCTTATATTTGCTCAGTATCCAATTACCAAATAAGAGGAAATTAGTAGAAGAGGTGTTACTACCCAAGAGTGACTGAAAAGCATTGAAAAATATCTCCTCAACTTTTTACCCTTCCATAATTTTTTTTTCTGTTTGGTTGTTTTTTGTACTGTAGTATATATTTTTTGTTTCTATTTCAAAAGCAAATTGATATATAGGTCACAGCTCTGGCTTGGTGACCTTCTGGTTGGACAGTGTTCTCTTCTGCTGCCTGTTGAACTCTGGCCACTGCTGGCCCCTTTTGTTTTGGACACGTTTCTTGCCCCAGAAGCTCATGCTCTTTTGCACTGCTACGTTTTCAGTCCAACTTTCTGTACACATTCTTTAGTGTTTGACCATGGACTTGTGTATAAATTATTCAAGCTGCTCTCACTCCTACCAAATCTAAATCTGCTTCTGCACTCAGGACATAAAAAAAGAGTTTTATCTGAACTAAATGTCTGCACTTGTTCCATCTGTCATGCCATAAGGCTGCAGGCATGTTAAATGATGATAAATGCATGATGGTCAACAGTAGCTTATCAGTACTAGACATTCTGTAATTTTGCAGAAAAAAAACAAAAAAAACATAGCCTTTTCGTTACAGACAGTTTTGTGTTTCATATCGCAAATACTACAAGCGGCGTTGTTTGCATCAGCTTTCACTTCTCTGAGACCACTCCGGGGGCTCCAGCTTACTAACACACTTTCCCAGAAAAGTAGCATAACTCGTTATGTGCAGAGAACAC